CCTTTCAGTCGCCGAAACACGAGTCCCATAAGAGCGACGAATTCCCGCCAATGATGGATGACTTGTGGAGTAAATTAGCGAAAATGAATACAAACGACAAGAACTTAATGCCCACAAAACAATCGTTTGCTTCGGCTGTCGTCGGAAAAGCACAGCCCGAACCTCAGAACCCGTCGTCTGAAGCGGTCAGACATCAAAACGATAGAAACAAATCTGGCGCTAGAAATAAGAGTCAAAGGAATCCACAACAACCGAGAGCCGAGAATTTCGCGCAAAACAAACCCTATAAACATAAGATTCAATTAATCGAGAGTTTTAGGACAATACTGACCAACGCTTGCGAACGTTACTATCAATTAAAGGCCAAATACGAAACATACACTTTCGGACCCATGAAATCGAATGCCCTGAAATTGACACTTCCGGACGGCAAGTATTTCCATACTCTTCACAACGCGCACAACACCGTTGAAGACGCGTCCGAAGCGTTGGCTAGAGATGCGTTAATGTATATCAATCAGAGATTTAACGCTAACATAGATTTAAGCCGTCCGCGAAAGATGTTATCGTCGCCGTCGTTCGTCGACCCCAACCAGTCGTCACCCAATCGGCTCCGAATTGATGAGAGTTCACTGCCGCGGCCGCCGACCAATTGGATTAAGACCAATAGACCCATGAATCAGCCGTTTGGCAGACCCGCACCCGTTGTACAAATTCCCGAATCATTTGTCGAACAGAATGAGAGAATTCTCCAGCAGTTGCAAAAAGGGAACCCGTCTTACAAAGCAAACACAAACACCGGACAAAATAAGGAGCGAAATATTTCGCCTAAAAAGTTATTCGACGCCAAAACTGATAATTTTGTGAACGTTTCGACCGAAGGAAAGTCCACTCCAATGAGAATAATACAGAAGAAAGTACCGAATGATAGCATTAATGATAGTCATCAACAGAAACGAAATCCACAGATGACGGCAGCGGTCAATGCATCCGGCGGTCAGTCGCCGTTCGCCAATCAGTTTGTGCCCTTACAAGTGGCCCGAAATAATCAGTCGCACAAACAATCGACGCCTCAGAAGAATAGCCATCAATCAAGAGCTCGAAACCAGCCGAACGAAGTGATTGATCTCACGTCCAACTCTTCGTCCGAAATCGAGGTTCTATTGACACCCGAATTGTTGTCAAAACAGTCGTCCGCTTCGAGACTAAGCTCTGGCGATGACATCGAGATCCTCACTCCTGAGGCCCTGATTGCCAGCTCGTCGTCCGCCGGAGTTTCCGCCGCCAACTCTTCGGGAAAGCGAGGCTCCCGTCGCTCTCGAATGGGAGCCAATTTGAACTAAACTTACGGCTCGTTATTTGTTAACTGTTTTGATGACATCTAAAATAATACAAACATTTAAATTCATTTATTTTGCATACAATTACTATTAATATCGTTGATTGAAATCATGAACTAATTTGTTCCCAACTGTCTGTCAACTCATTCGAGTCTCTATTCAAATAACAAATTCAATTATTACTGATTTTTACCATAATTTTAATCAACAGTTATTTATCGGATTTTATGGATAAACAAATGTTTGATATATTTATTTTGAAGATTATTTTGTTCATAGATTTCATTGTATTGATTGTAAATGAAATCTATAATTGAAATAAAGTTAACAATTAATAAATAAAAAGTTTTTAATTAAAAAAAAAGATTTTATTTAATCGTCACGTAATTTGTGAAAAGTTGGTCGAAATGGACGCCATTTTTTGGCAATAGTTTTGTTTCAATGATTTGTTTTGTTTATGAAAAAAGGATTTAATTGTGATTTAAAGCCATAAAACAACTGATCCAACCATTGACTGGTCGTCGGCTTTGAATGAATGATTCAATGAGTGGTTATAAGAGAGAGTACGACAACAAAGACAACAACAGTCACGACAATTACAATACACGTGAGTATTGGGGAGTTGTGGCCATCGGTGGTGACACTAATTGTCTCATTGCTTGTCAGATGGATCGGATCGGAAACGGAAGCGCAAGAGTCGATGGGGTGGAGACGATAGCGATAAGGTGTTCATCCCTGGGATGCCGACAATGTTGCCGAACAATCTGTCCAAAGAACAGGAACAGATATACCTCCGTATGTCTCACTTTTTGCCATTCATTTACCACTAATAGCTCTCAATTTCTCTTTCATATTAACCATAGTATCGATTAAAACACTAATAATTAATTTTTTCAATCATAAGAAAACCATAATTTAAAACATAAATTGATTTTTCAGCGAAAAAATACAAACAAAACATTAACTTAAAAATTAATTATTATTTGAATTTACAGTTTTTGATAGTGTATTGAAAATTAAATTAGTTTTTAATAGTATTGTATGTATTTATACGTAAATGTAATCAATTGTCCACATCTATAATCGATGGGGTCTTTGGGCCCTTTCTCTTAACCACTTTCCTTACAGTTCAAGTAGAGATCGAAGCGATTAGCCGTCAATTACTTTCCGGTGATCTCGGAATACCTGCCAATCCTGAAGAAAGGTTTGCCGCCAACACATCCAATACATCCACATTTCCACTTCTTTTCAATTTCTCTCTCCTATACTATCCATACAATTGAAACCATAATTGTCTTTGATTTGCATTTGATGGCCGACGTTATCATTCAATTATGCTATTCATTCCAATTGATCCGAGTCTTTAGATCTTATTTCTCATTATGTCGTTAACGTCTTAATTACAGTTACATTTTAAAGCAGTTTTGATTACCCATTAAAGTAATAGCGTTTAGGTTTTGTCGGCCGAGTCTTTGAAGATAAATAACGACAACAATTAATGCAATGATTTATTTCAGCACTTAATCCGTTTTATTATAGGAAATGCTAATTCAGCACAAAATCTAATTAATTGTTTACTCTATGAAATGATAATTTGATTTTCAATTACAGTAATACTAATAATACATACAATTAGGAAATAATGACAAATTATATTTATAACTCTGTTTAAGCTCTAAATATAAACCCAAAAACCAATTGAATGAACAGTTTTGTAGAATACTTGACCGGTTCTGTTACAGATCTCCCTCTCCAGAGCCTATCTATAATAATGAGGGCAAACGTCTCAATACAAGAGAGTTTAGAACCCGAAAGAAATTAGAGGACAAAAGACATGAATCCATTCAAACTATGTTTGCACTCAATCCGGGATACAAACCGCCCGCAGATTACAAGTTAGTCAATCCATTCCCCGTTAAACTCTCAACACTTTCCTAACGCTAGTCTTCCTTAAAGGCCTCCACAACTGAAGATCAGCGAAAAGGTTCTCATCCCTCAGGAGGAGTATCCGGACATCAATTTCGTCGGTTTACTCATCGGTCCGCGAGGAAACACTTTGAAGGCCATGGAAAAAGATGTATGTATTGGATAACACATTATATTGTAGTTTGCATTAAATGCAAATTTTGCTTTTCTCCTCATTATTACTGCTTTACAAATAATGTAAAGAATTTGCAAAAATGATACTTAAGATCTGAAAACTATTAAAACTTAAGTCCCATTCTATCCATAATATATACTCTATATATTGAATTGTGTGCTGTATTTCAATATACCGCAATTTGTCTCAATAGACCGGCGCTAAGATTATAATCAGAGGCAAGGGATCCGTCAAAGAGGGAAAGATTGGCCGTAAAGATGGCCAACCGATGCCCGGAGAGGACGAACCGTTGCACGCATTCATAACTGGTTTGACTCACGACTCGGTGGTTAAAGCCGTACAGAAAGTAAGTGTTGAACGCAGACATGAATTTGAAACTAACGCTTGAATTGATGTCAAACGAAGATCAAAGAAGTGATCCGTCAGGGCGTCGAAGTGCCTGAGAATCAGAACGATTTGCGAAGAATGCAATTACGAGAGTTGGCTCTATTGAACGGCACTCTCCGCGAGAGCGATGGTCCGCGTTGTGCCAATTGCGGCCTCACGTCCCACCGCTCGTGGCAGTGCCCGGACAAGCCTAACGTGACGAACAACGTTGTGTGCACTAACTGTAATGGCGTCGGACATATCGCCAGGGATTGCAAGGAGAAGAAGACGCCCACCGGACCCGTCAATCAGTCCAAGATTGATGAGGAATACATGTCACTCATGGCTGAGTTGGGCGAAGGCCCGCCCCCTCCCAAGACCACCACTTCGTCGTCGTTTACGGCCGGAATGGGGCCCACCATTGGTATGACTCAATCAGCGCCCAAAGCTATAGCGATGGCACCGCCGCCGCCTCCGTCGATGTCAATGCCCAATATGTCGCCGACCTCTACAGCGCCCACACCTTTGCTGCCGACGCCCACTATGGGTCAGCCCAACTCGTGGTCTGCGCCCACATCTATGAACTCGTGGCAAACGTCGCAAACCCCTTATGGCGTTAACAATAATTCCAGCGGCTATTCAATGGGCGACTCTTACCCATCAAACAACATGTACTCGCCTTCGGCCACATCGCCAATGGGTTGGTCTCAAAACCAATGGAATTCAATGGCTCCGCCGGTGGCTCCGGTGCCGCCACCGCCGCCTCCATCGCAGGCGTCAAACGGCAACCCATGGAATATGTATCCCCCGCCTCCGCCCCCGCCCTCAATGGCTTCTCACCAACAAATGTCAAACATGATGGTCCCGCCGCCGCCACCCCCTCCCCCTCCTCCCCCACCGCCGCCGCCGCCCATGTAATGATTGTAATCGTATTCATTGGATTCAAACTGTGGTCTGGAAATGAAAAAACACTGTAATTTATACAAACGACTAGATATTCAACTATTAATTAAATAAAAATGTCATTTTGTTTAATAAAACATTTTTTTGATTCAATTAATGTGTGATTTATTAGAAGATAATTCAATTATGTAATACACCATCACTACAGAGGCGTTCATTCAGTGCTATATTAGATGATAGGTCTAATTGAGTGCATGAAAGTACAAATTGACATATCATTGACATATCAAAGGGGTATTAATGTTCACCCCTTAGCCCTTGAAATGAAATTAAAATTCACGAGTCATTGAATGAGTGGTTGTTTTTCGTATAAAATAAGTTAATTATTAATTCATTAATTCATGGCTTATATAACGTAACAAATACTGTATTAAAAGTGAATCTAAAAATCAATATATTTTCTCATATAATTCAATACAAACCGTAAGTAAACGTATTTTATGCCAAAAAAGTATTCAATATTTTCTCCATTTTTTGTGAATTATTTTTGAAAAATAGACGAAAAGTAAACTTAAAAATCATTATTTGTTTTGAATGTGTTTTTGAGCGCAGATTCAGTCAATCATTTGGTAAAATTGAGTCATACCAATGGTGGGCCCCATTCCGGCCGCCCATGTAATGATTGTAATCGTATTCATTGGATTCAAACTGTGGTCTGGAAATGAGAAAACACTGTAATTTATACAAACGACTAGATATTCGACTATTAATTAAATAAAAATGTCATTTTGTTTAATAAAACATTTTTTGATTCAATTAATGTGTGATTTATTAGAAGATAATTCAATTATGTAATACACCATCACTACAGAGGCGTTCATTCAGTGCTATATTAGATGACAGGTCTAATTGAGTGCATGAAAGTACAAATTGACATCATTGACATATCAAAGGGGTATTAATGTTCACCCCTTAGCCCTTGCATTGAAATTAAAATATACGAGTCATTGAATGAGTGGTTGTTTTTCGTATAAAATAAGTTAATTATTAATTCATTAATTCATGGCTTATATAACGTAACAAATACTGAATTCAAAGTGGATCTAAAAATCAATATATTTTCTCATATAATTCAATACAAACCGTAAGTAAACGTATTTTATGCCAAAAAAGTATTCAATATTTTCTCCATTTTTTGTGAATTATTTTTGAAAAATAGACGAAAAGTAAACTTAAAAATCATTATTTGTTTTGAATGTGTTTTTGAGCGCAGATTCAGTCAATCATTTGGTAATACAGTCGACAATCGGCTCTTCAATTGGATCCCATCGCCAATCATACCATTCATTGCACACATTTTGCCATCAATTGATTGAATTGATCGCTTGATACGCACCAGAGATGGAAGCGCTCGAAGACCAGTCTAACGGCTCGTCCACACCGATGGCCGTCGACGACAGCAATGACAACACCGGCAAAGACCAGACCATCGATGAGACACCGAGTGGTGCGACCGTCACATCCAATGTGAAACCCGTCGGACAACCATTGGTTGACTTTCTGCACCATTTGGAGGATTACACGCCGACTGTAAGACAATTGACACGTCCTTTGAATTGTCACTCAATTGTAATGTATTGTTACGTATGGATCAGATCCCGGACGCCGTCACTGTTCACTACTTGAATACATCCGGTTTTGAGACATCGGATCCCAGAATGTAAGCCATTATTGATTGCCTAATAAACCGATGACTTGTGTTGTAATGAGTGTTTGTGTGGATCCGTTACCTAAGAGTACGGTTGATATCAGTGGCGGCGCAGAAGTTCATCTCGGATGTGGTGAACGACGCCCTCCAACACTGTAAGATGAGAGGCGCCGGACAGTCGAAGAAGACATCCAAAGACAAGAGATACACGTTAACGATGGAGGACTTGAGTCCAGCGCTGGCAGAGTATGGCATTAATGTCAAAAAACCTCATTATTTCAATTAAGACAAGACATCACATAAAACTTGAATCAAACAAAATTATTATTTTTCTCAAAATGAATTTTTATTCAAATATATCTATATATTAATGAATATTTTAAAATCTATAATAATTAGTATTTGAAACAAAATACATATATATTTATCATATAATAATTTTGTTTATATATTAATGTCTATAAAATATTAAGTCGATATTCTGTACAAAAAAACAAACAAAAATGCAATTAATTTACGAGAAATTAGTGATAAAAAGAGATGCATTGAAGAGAGGAATGGAGTCGAGTCTTGATTACCAGTAAATGCTATTTGTTTTTCTTAATTGAAAATTCTTAAGGAATGGATTCAAAACGTTGTCCACTTTTTTATTCATTATACGATTATTATGTTTAACATTGTTTTGCTCTTCTTTTGCCTCATTTTCTTTATAATTTGAAAATTTAATTTCTTGTAATTGTCTTTCAATAATGTTGTCATTATTATTATTATTTGATTTTATATTAACTTTCAATTCATTTTGCGTTGAGATGTCCTCTGATTTCTTTGTATTTATGCCTTTAGAGCACGTCTTCACTCTTGGGATCACAAAATGATTAGAAAAATTAGAAATAAATTTATGGTTTTTATCGAAAAATATAGTTTCGGTGTAACTATTAATTACATCTAATCTCATGATCGCACTCTTGTTCGCTATTTAATCACTAGATTTGAAATTTATTTCAAAACAATATTTATCTTTATTTTGAGAGAAGCAAATGATCTGAATTCAGATTACTTTAAAAATGTAGTTCTCTCTCTCTCTCTCTCTCTCTCTCTCTCTCATTAGTTTTTATGTTGAATATTTAGTTCATTTTTATATATATTTCAAATTCATTGCTAGTCTCCAACCNCTCTCTCTCTCTCTCTCTCTCTCTCTCAACAGTTAATGTTTGCCAATATTATGCAAAACCGATTCAATAGTAATCATTACTAATCACTAGTAGTTGTCATAAATATATTGTAATTAAATCTATTCTCCATTTAATTGTTGTAATATTTATTTGAAAATAAAAATTTTGACTCGAATTGAGAGTCAAAACAAAACATTTGTTTCTATTCTTATATTTTATGATAACTTTTTATATGTAAAACTCAATACTTTATATATTTAGGAGCAGTTATAGCGGTTTCTTCTTTCTTTTTCAACAACTTCTTCCACTCGGGAATAGAGTTCACTCTTTTCTCCTCTATCTCTCGGACCACGTCTTCTTCGGCTTCTTTTTTGGCCTTTTCGGCCGCCTTTTTGGCCAACATTTGTCGCTTCCATAGAGGAATCGGTAGACCTTTTGCGTCCGTTTCTGGAATCTTATCGATGAAGTTCTCTGTGTTATAATTGACAGCAATTTCTGCCATCTTTTCCTTCACCTGAGATTTCAATGCAATTTAAAAATATAATAATTATTAAACAAAACATTTACATAAGAAGAAACATTTACTTCATTTTTATTCTTCTTCTGTTCCTTCACTTTCTTAATTCCGTCCAAATCTTTCGTTGCCTTCAGTTCTTCTATTAAATCATTTTTTCTGAGAAGAACTGCTCTTTCATTGGTTGGCTTTTCTGTCTTTTTGAGCGACACTTTTTGGAGCTCTTCTTTTGTGATACTGAATGTGACGGAAGAGATTGTGGAGACACTCGACGATATCGTACTCTTTGACGACACAACTGTTGGCTCACTTTTGGCCACGGATTTGGTTTCGCTGACATTAGAATCGGATCCGTAGATATCAGTGGTCGTAGAGTTGATGTCTTCGTCGTCTTCGTTATCGCTTGTATCGGAAATGCCTTTAATACTCTCGTAATCGTTATTCATATACAAGTGATTCTCGGAAACACTTCTCTGTATTTTGCGTTGAGTTCCGTAGTATTTGTTTTGTTGATTCAAATACCCGTATTTGGGGACCGGAAACGCCGATACCGTTCGGTTCGCCACGTGTTTCAAGTACTCCGACGGACGGATATTGATGTCGTTGTCCGGCGGCGAAGCGAACTGCGGAGGAATGAATGGAAGGGCCGGTAATTTAGACTTTGCGGACGAATACTTTTCATATCGAGCGGTCCTTTCGCTGGCATTTGATTTGTCGCTCTTTGAGTCTTCGTGTGTCGATATATATAGTGTATGATTGGGTGGCGGCGGGGGTGGGGGTGGAGGTGGCGGCGGTAACACATGAGGTGTTGAACTGTTGCCATTTGACTGTGAATTGTGGTCTAAATCGGTTTTGCTTTTATGAGAAACTGTTTCCTTAATTAATCGCTTGTTTTCTAATGATTTATTCGTTTCACATAAGGTTTCGCTTGAATTCTCTCTCCTTTTTTCTTCTTTCAGTTCTTCACTGCAAAGAACAGCACTTTTTTGCCGCTTGAGTTCATTATTGGCACAGCCTATCGACGGCACAGGTATTGTGGGTTTAACGCTATTTTGGTCGTTATCCTCATTGAGTCCCATTGGCCTACAATTGAGTCGACCCTCTCTCTCATCTTCAGTCAACTCGTCCTCCACTTCTTGATAGATCCCCTCATCAGTACTCGTACTGCAGACCTCTGATGACGATATGGACGACACACCGAAGTGTCCGTTTGGGCTGACGTTGTCGTCCGAACTCAACGTCGATGTCTTACTCGGGGGTTCGTCGACGTCATAGTCAGGCATCGGATCGCTTGACTCCGAGAGACTCATACAGTCGTCAGAGCTTTGATGCACTTCTGCTGTCACTTAACACAAACACAACAATCAATTTTAATCACATTTTCTTTCAAACAATATCTCATATAATGTTTTACCCAAATGTTTATTATTCTTTGAATTGAGCGCATATTCCTCTTTAGTCCGCGAGACGAGAGCTCCGTTTCGTTTCTCCTTTTCAAACAATTGCTTCACTCTATCGTTGGAAGTCATGTGTGGTTCGTGTAAGAAGAAGGGTTCCGTACAGCAGGAGCTCGACAGCGACGGACTGTTCACTGCAGAGTCCTTTCCGCTGTCTATCGTTCGTTGACTACTATTACTGTGCGAACGCTTGTGATTAGACGCCGGACTCTTCAGCTGCCGATCACTTGACACTCCCTCCGAATCGGACAATCCTTTTGGACAATAGTTCTTGGAATCGGCTCTTCGTCTCGGCTGATGATATAGCGATCGCCCGGTGTTTAGGGCGTCGTACGTCTCATTGCGTGTCCGATGCAGTTTCGGGTGATGTCTGGCGCTATTAGTGACCACTTCTGGGGACTGGCAGTCGTCACTCGACCGAGAATTACAACAACAGACCTCAACGTCGATGTCTTACTCGGGGGTTCGTCGACGTCATAGTCAGGCATCGGATCGCTTGACTCCGAGAGACTCATACAGTCGTCAGAGCTTTGATGCACTTCTGCTGTCACTTAACACAAACACAACAATCAATTTTAATCACATTTTCTTTCAAACAATATCTCATATAATGTTTTACCCAAATGTTTATTATTCTTTGAATTGAGAGCATATTCCTCTTTAGTCCGCGAGACGAGAGCTCCGTTTCGTTTCTCCTTTTCGAACAATTGCTTTACTCTATCGTTGGAAGTCATGTGTGGTTCGTGTAAGAAGAAGGGTTCCGTACAGCAGGAGCTCGACAGCGATGGACTGTTCACTGCAGAGTCCTTTCCGCTGTCTATCGTTCGTTGACTACTATTACTGTGCGAACGCTTGTGATTAGACGCCGGACTCTTCAGTTGCCGATCACTTGACACTCCCTCCGAATCGGACAATCCTTTTGGACAATAGTTTTTGGAATCGGCTCTTCGTCTCGGCTGATGATATAGCGATCGCTGCCACAAATCCCGCAGCATGCAGAGTAACGCACAGGCTACGTCAAAGCCCACTACAGACCGCGATAATCACTGGTGAAGACCCCTGACCGTCAGCAGTGAGCTGGCTCTTAATGTTGTTGTCTGGAGTTGTTTCTTAGGAATTCCAGAATATGTCGATTCCGTTGAATCCTTTGAATGAAACGTATGGTTATATTCACAACTGAATCCATTGATTGTCTTGAAAACTGGTGCAAAACTTACACTTTTAACTGCACTTCTCTTAGAGGCTGAGGAGGAAGTGTTATGACATGTGCAGCGCTTGTGTTGGGAACGACTTAAATGTGAGGGATTTGTAGTTAAATTAGTTGTAGAAAAACTTTGACTATGACTTAAATTAATATCGTTGTGGTTTCTCGGGTCCGACGCGTGGCTTATCAATAGACTCAGACACTAATT